GTACAATGTAATAGATGAACAGATAAAAAGAGTTGAACAGAAGAAGAGATAGAAATCTTGAATAAGATAGTGATGTTCAATGATGATGATGATGAAGAAGATGATTGAAGAATGAGAAAAGTTAGTGAATGAGTGATGTAATATAGTGAAAGTTTCTTTATAAGAGTGTACACAGGACACTAGCTGAATCAGAGATAGGTCATAAGATTGCGAACACTAGGGACGCGCTAATCCGCATGAAGCTAGGACAGATGTCATGGTCATGTGGGCGTGACTGAATCTGGTGAGAGAGGATGTGATTCGGAAGAATGTACAGTGGTTCAGAAGAATGTACGACTGTCGGATAATAACGCGGCCGCTTCCAAACTTGCTTACAAGTGTAAAGGGGCCATAGCGGCCACTAATTAATTTAGCGTACGATATTACAATATATAAGAAGCCGGCGTACGCCTGTAATCGTACGCTGGCAAGCAATCTTTGAATCACAGACAGATCTCTCAGCTTGATATATTTCATGCTTGAATTCTCATCCTGCACAGTGGTCTTTGATGATGTGTATGCTTCTGAAGAGATTGTGAATAATTATGATAAGATCTTCAGGTTCAGTATAGTTACCTGTCTGTGTAAATATTCAATCTTCTGCTGCAGGTCTAAGATCTGGTTTTCTCTATTCTTATTAATAGTGATGATTGCATCAGTAAAGCTCTTCATAGTGAATGCTTGATCTGCAGTGAATGTCAATTGTTGTTTGACTTTCACCTCAGCCTGTCACTGCATATGCAAGGCCTTGATCTTGTTTAGAATCCTTGTATGTGTATAAAGCTTTGATTTCAGTTCAGTGATTTCAGCTGCTTTTCTTACTGTTTTGAGTAAACTCTCTGAGAGATTCTGCATATCTTCTGATTCAGATAGCAGAGAAGGGTGTTATTTATATTAACTAGAAAAGATATTCATTTCAGTGATTTTCTTGTTAATTGTACAATGTCTATTATTATATCACTGTATTGTTATATCACTGTATTGTTATATTACTATATCATTATATCACTATATTATTATATGATTTCTGTTGTTATTATACAACTTCAGTGATGATCATCTCTCTCTTTTATTTCTTTGAGTGAAGAGCAGTCTTCTTTGAATCTGGTTCACTGCTTTCATCTCTTTTCTCACATCTTATCTGTTCACATATGTGGCATTCGCCTGGGTGTGAAGTTTTCTCTCAATAAGTGAAGCAGTATTAATCAGATACTCTTTCACTCACTGCTCTTTATACACTATCTTTTGAGATGTTCTAGAATCACACTGGCATGATAACTATGAATTGCTTCATAGACAGAATTATCACACTCTGAAGAAGCCTGCACTTCTCACCGGTTTTTAGACATGCTATCAGATGTGATTCAAAGATTGCTTGAGTCAGTGTACAATTACAGGTGTACACCGGCTTCTTATATATTATACATTAAATTAATTAGCGGCCGCTATGGCCCCTTTACACTCGTAAGCAAGTTTGGAAGCGGCCGTGTTATTATCCGACGGTCGTATGTTCTTTCAAACTAAAATATAGATATATACTGATTATTTATTAGATGATATTAAGACAATGACTTATTACAGCTGTGTTACTCTCACTGTGAGAGATACATGATTGATAATGAATATTACAAAGACTCTGAGAAGTAAGTATTTTGAGAATACTGCAGCTCTGTAATCTTGATTTTTTTTTATTTTTATTTTTTATTTTTTTCTTTTTCTTTCTCTTCTTTTTTTCTTTCTCTTTTTTTTTTTTTTTTTTATTGTGATTTTTTCTTGTTGTTTTGTTTTTTATTTTTTTTATTATTTTTTGTATTTTATATATTTTTTTTAATTAAAATAATATTGATTATAATCTGTGTTTAGAAAAGTAATAATATTTAATAACACTCTCTGTTGAATTTTCAACAAATGAGCACTATGTTATGATATTATGTAAGTGAGAAATGATTTCATGATCTCATTTAATGCTATTTTCAATAATGAGATCAGAATGAAAATGTGACTAAGAATTCAAATATATTCTTTATCTGAGACTAGATTTTTATTTGAAAAGTGAATCTGAGACCTTTAATATTTGAAATAATAAGATTTGAGATCAATGTGATGAACATAAATTATGATCAGAAGTAATGCTTTTAGACAATGTGATAACTGTAAAGTTTGGTCCTGATCTCAGACACGGTCACACGGTCAGTCTATATACTCTCAACAAATTTTTATAACTCTAGAATTGATTTAATGTGTAAATTTGTTGAATCATCTTGAAGAAAGTGATCAAATTCAGTTTTACAAGCATGTAGTTTTGCCTGATTTTCAGTTGCAATCAATGTATGTAAGTTCTGTTTCAAAGTTAGTATTATAGTTCTATATAATATGAAGTGTTATCAAAGATTGTTACTTACTAGAGAATTGTATTTCACTGTCTTCACATCTCTAACATCTGCTCATTCAAATCTCTGATAGTTGACATTGTAGTAGTCTCAGGCTAATTTAACATACAAGTCTCATTTCTTCTCTGTTCAATCTTGAGAAGTGTAGATATTAACTTAATGAGAGAGATCTAGTAGAGCTGCTATAGAATAGTACTCTGTAAAAGATTGTTCAGTTTTGCTGTAGTAATATATCAGGTTATTTCTTACAGTAATAATAGCCTGTGCTATAGCATCATCTCAGACTGAATTTCTTTTTAAGTGATTCAACTGCTTCTCAAGATGAGTAAATAAACTGTTATACACTCATCAGACTGACTGCAGCATTAGTGTATACATGATTGAGACTGTCATTATTATCTTATAAAACTGAAATAATAAATTAATCACATATTTCAACTGAGTTCACTTCATATCAGAAAGTCTCAATATCTGAATCTTTTCCTAATCAGAGTATTGCACTCAATGATCAATCATCTGATACAATCAAAGAGTCTGAACAGTTATCTCATATATTGAACTTCATCATATTCTAACATTCTGTATCATATTCAGTGATGTGACTGATTTGTTTATTTATTGAATATCATGAAATTATTATTGTTATTTGAAGAAGATACAAATCACATTAGCAATGTTTTGAATCTGTGATATTTAAATTATTAGTCAATCTATTCAAAATTAACAGTAGCATTATCAAAAAGCATTATCAAAAAGCAATATTAAAAAGTGTTATTAAAAAGTATTATCTTTTGTAAAGTGAATATAAAAGTTACTTGAGTAATCACTTTCATCTCATTCTCATCTCAAGAATCAGTCATCTTATTATTCTTCATCTCAATGTTAAGATTCTTTATCAGTGTTTGTATCATAAGTTGAATCACATGAGTAATGCAGAGAATATGATCTTGTTTATCATTTCAGAAATGCAAAGTCAATTTTTGTTTCAAGCTGTTTATTATAGTGTAGTTATTCACAGCATTATCAGTTGTAATTGTAAGAAGACTGAAACTAATATCTCAATAGTCATTTTTAATCACAGTTATTAATATCTCTGTTATATAATTCTCAGTATGACTACTGATCAATGATTCAAATTCAATTAATGTCTCTTGATAAGTTCAGTTCTCATCAATATAATAACATATAACTCTTATAAATGCAAGATTGTTTGTACTAGTTCATGCATTCACTGTGAGAGACACTCTTCAATGATTCTTCAACTCTGATTCTAGATATTGTATATTGACTTTGTAGTGTGTCTTGAGATTGAACTGAAGACAGAATTGATGTGAAATATGAAGATTTGAATTAAGTATTTGAAGAAGTGTTCAGAATTCAGAGTTTTCAATTGATCAAAGAGAAAGATTCAGAGATATACATATATAAAGTAATTATTCACAGAAGTTATCAGATGAGAGTTATAAAATCAGAGTACTGATACCTGATCATTTTTATATAATTTTCTTCAAATTAGAAAGTTAGCATTATCAAAAATCATTATCTGATAGAGTAACTTACCAGCTCAGTAGTAATTTTTTGATTATTTTTCTTTTATTGTCTGCATTCTGATGACTTCAGGTGTTAGAAAATTTCTTCAGAGTTATGATAAGTTCATGATAAATGTTTCTGAATAAAGTTGCAGTGATTGTAGCAGAGAGATGACTCTTCAGTAATCTGCAATACAATCTGTTAATAATTATTTCATAGTTCATCTCAGTGTTTATATTGAGTTTTTCATAAATTTCATGACCTGAAATCAGATGTGAAGAATGAAGTGATTATTTATTATAATTGAAAGAGAGCATTCTGTATTGAATTATAAATAACATAGACTTTGTGATTCACAGTGATTTCTTAAAGAGTTTATAAATCTTCAATAGAAGTAAAAGAAGTGAAAGAAGTGAATTCAGAAGACATGATAATAATTTGAGAAAGATAATAATTTATTTTCAATAACTGATCACTGATGTGTGTAAGAAGAATTAATATAAGAGAAAATAATCTTCTTTCTTAGCTTAGTTATAATTTTAGTACTAACTCAGATTGAATATCATCAATGTATAAAAGTAAATAAATAATCTTGATTAATCTCTATCATATTTCTTGAAATATATTAATATTATGAAAGAGAGTATTACTAAATTGCATTATCAGATAATATTATTAAAAATATATTAATATTATGAATATTAATATTGAAAAAATGTTGATACTTATACATTATAGTGACATGATAGTTGAATATATATATATATATTATTCCTGATATTGATAATTGATTACAACTTGTATAATAATTTTTGAAAACTTAAAATTAATTTTAATTATTAGCTAATAGTTATGAACTTATAACTAATTAATATAAAAAGAAAAAAACTTTTTCTACTTATTATCTTTCTTCTCTTTCTCATTCTTCTCATCATTCTTCATAATTTACTTCTTATTCTTATTCTTCTTCTTCTTCTTCTTATCTGAGATAATAATCATCTTAAAATCTCTCTCTACTGCCTTCTCAGAGAAGAGTTTCTGCTACTCTCTCTCAGTCAGATCAACCTGCATCTTAAAATCCCGCATTTTCTGATCTTCTGTCTCAGGTTTCACCTCAGCAGTAAGCAGATTGACATGCTCAGAGAGCAGGGCTGCCTTCTCAATGTTCTGAATCATGAAGCGCATTTGAGACCTGAACAAGGCCTCAATCTTCTTCTTCTCTGCCAGCTCCTGCTAATCAATTAGAGAACAGAAGTGTTATCAAAAATTGTTATCTCTTAATAAAAAACTTATCAGTTTTGACTTCTTTATTTTCTGCTTTAATATCTTCTCAATCTTCTTCTGCTACTGCTTATTTACAGTAATGCTCTTCTTCTCTCTCTCTCTTTTCATCTTGATCTTAAATCATTCTCAGAACTTCTTCTGATCTCATCACTACTGTATAAGGCTCTTCACTGTCTTCTTTTTCAATCTCTCACAGATGATGTTATCTGTATTATTTCTATACTTAGTTCAGTCTAAATCTATCAGAAGTATTACTTAAAATCATTATCATTCTGCTTTCTTATAAAGCCTCTTCAAGACATTATAATATGCCTTGCAATCTATCTTCTCACACTTAAATACCTTCTTCTTCTCTCTCTTCAATCTGTGATAGCACTCACATGTCTTGATGATCCGCAGGACTGCAGAATATTTGAAGAGAGATGACATGATTAATTTTAATAAGTATTGAAAGAGAGATGAAGGCAGAGAAGGCAGCTAGCAATGATATGATAATAATAATGATAATGATGATAATGATGATGATAATGATAATGATGATAATGATGATAATGATGATAATAATAATAATGAAAGAGAGAGTGCATCAGAATATATTATTAACTTATCAAATATAAAGAGACAAAGAAACTATTAACCGCTTTCAGAGATTTACAGAAACAGCTACAGTGTTGTATAGCAACATTATCTTCATTCAATACATGCACTATTGATATTCTTTGTATGTATTTATCATATAATCTATATCAGAGATACATGCAGAAAACAGATCTTTATTACTAGAGAGAATGATTACAGTGATTCTCTGTTTTTATATTATAAAGATAAGTTATTCTCATTTCTTTCTTCTCTCTTTTCTCTTCTTCTTCAACCCATCACTAAGTTCAAGCTGGTATGAAAACTATTAAAACCCTCTTAGAAATTCTCAAATTGAAGAGTATAGACTAATCAAATTTTAAATACAGATGAATTAAATTACATTCAATAATACTAATTATTCATTTCTCTCTTAATAAAACAACAGTCATGTCTTCTCTTTCTTCTCAAATGAAATATGACCTGTGAAAAGTGAGTATCACATCAGGCTATAATAATCAACACAGCCCCAGCATGCAGAGCTGTATACACACAGTGTATGCTGAACTGAGAGACTGTGTGAATTGCAAATTAACAGCAGCATCTCAGAGAGAGCTGTGCAGCGTGAGAAAGCTGCAACTCTCAGTCATATACACAGAGAGTGAATCACTACAGTAAGTGTATGTGCATTGCATGAAAGTAACACTTTTTAATAATACTCAGTCTCTGATATCATGAAAATAGAGTCTCTTCATGAGATTCATTTTTATCAGAAGTCAGAGAATCTTATATTTCTCAAGATCATTTTCATACACCTTGTCTGTGAAATTAATGAGAGAAATCATTGATTTCAGCATTCTACTCTTGATGTTATTCAAGTAGCAGCAGAGTTCATTCTGACCACACTTTTTAAGTGTATGTTTTCTAATTATTCACATTTATACAGATATATACTGATTATTTATTAAGTGATGTTAAGACAATGACTTATTACAGCTGTGTTACTCTCACTGTGAGAAATACATAATTGATAATAAATATTATAAAGACTCTAAAAAGTGAGTATTTTAAGAATGCTGCAGCTCTGCAATCTTGATTTTTTTTATTTTTATTTTTTATTTTTTTCTTTTTCTTTTCTTTTTTTTTTCTTTCTCTTTTTTTTTTTTTTTTTTTTATTGTGATTTTTTCTTGTTTTTTTTTATTTTTTGTTTTTTGTTTTTTTTTTTGTATTTTATATTTTTTTCATAATTAAAATTATATGAATTATAATGTATATTCAGAAAAGTAATGATATTTAATAATACTCTCTGTTGAATTTTCAACAAATAAGTACTATGTTATAATATTATATAAGTAAGAAATGATTTCATAATCTCATTTAATGCCATTCTCAATAATGAAATCAGAATGAAAATGTGACTAAGAATTCAAACATATTCTTTATCTGAGACTAGATTTTTATTTGAAAAGTGAATCTGAAATCTTTAATATTTAAAATAATGTGATTTGAGATCAATGTAATGAACACAAATCATGATCAGAAGTAATGCTTTTAGACAATATGATAACTGTAAAGTTTGATTCTGATCTCAGACATGGTCACACAGTCAGTCTAATCACTACTACTCTTATCAACTGTATAATGTATTACTGAGAAGTTTGATAATTATTTTAAATCAGTTTATTATTTCATACATTTTAATGAAAATACACTGCACTTTCTCTCTGACACTATTAATTAAGTTTATAAGATTCTTTATTACTGCTTTTTAGTTCTTATAATAATTATTAACTGATCTCAAGATCTCTCACTAAACAGCAAGCTTTGTATTTTTAATATTCAATTTTATTTTTTCAATGATAATTTTCTTCTTCTTTATAGTAATTTTCTTCTTTTCAATCTCTAATTTGATTCTTCCAATATTCAACTTGATCTTCTCAATTTCAAGTTTGACTTTTTCAGCAGAACTGATAGATGTATTCAAGACTTTCAATGTAATAGCTATACTCTTCATTTTTTAATTTTCTGCTTTCTACTGATATGTTTTTACTTTCTTGATTTAATTGAATAAATTCTTTATCATCTTCAGTATGACTGACTTGACTGATTTCTTCATAACTGTTGAGACAGTAAGATAAAACTCATAAATTCAGACTAGATTTTCAATTTCATCTTTTAATTTATTGAGATATATCACACAATCTTTCTTTTCATAATTGCAGTTTGAATATGACTTCATACTTTCTTCAACTTTGTCACAAACAGCATTAATATGATGAGAAAAGATATATAAGATACAATATTCACATATCATTGACTTGTCTGACTGATTGAGAGTTTTCAGTCTGATCACTGTCTCTTTCTCTTGTACTTTTCCAGCTGCTGTATATGTATACTTAAGAGTATCACTGATCATTTGTACTGCTGTTGTTGTTATTATTACTGTTATTATTACTGTTATTAGTACTGTTGTTAATGCTGTTGTTAATACTGATATGATGATTCACTGATATTCTTGCTATACTGTGCACATACAGTATCTTATATTAGAACTTTTGATTCTTAAAGCTTTCTATTGCAACTGGCAGAATACTAATCTTACTGAAGATGAGAAAAGACTGAATGAGCTGAATGAGCTGATAAATCAATATTCATATTGTGATATGATTGTGAGAAGAAAGAAGAAAGAAATGAAATGAAGAATAATAAGTTAATATTCTCTTTATATATATTATTGACTCTTTTATATTGCTATGCAATGAATGCTTTCATATTTCAGAAGACTCTTAAATACAATCAATCAGTGCATCTGACAGATTTTATTCATGTCTTATTTTCAGAATAAATACTTTCTGCACAGGCTATTATTTAATGAACTACAGCTATTTTGAATACAAAATCATTTCTATTAATTAGAAACAAGTGTTCAACACACTATCAGAAATATATCTACAGAATTTCAGATGAATAAAAAGATTTTCTGATACAGTAAAATCAGTGATTCTGCTGCAGTCATAATCATACAAATTTTAGAGAATATGACAATTTTCATCAGTGAATATCAAGACAGATAGTCAGTATAACTCAGTTGATAAGACTGATAATCAAGACCGCACACATTAGAGGTGCATGAGTTCGAATCTCATCACTAGCATCTGTCACTTCTTACTCATGAAAGCTCTCATGTAATAGAGACTGAGTTTAATTAATAAGGCTTGATACAGAGTAGAACTCTCTACTGCAAGCTAAGTCACTAGTTAAGTGAGATTCTGTGAACACTTATCAGAGCTGATATAAGATGTCAATATCTAGACTAATCATGTGACCGTGTCTGAGATCAGAATTAAACTTTATAGTTATTATATTATCTAAAAGTATTACTTCTGATCATAATTTATATTTATTATATTAATCTCAAATCACATTATTTCAAATATTAAAGATTTCAGATTCACTTTTCAAATAAAAATCTAGTCTCAGATAAAGAATATATTTAAATTCTTAGTCACATTTTCATTCTGATCTCATTATTGAAAATAGTACTAAATGAGATTATGAAATCATTTCTCACTTACATAATATTATAATATAGTACTCATTTATTGAAAATTTAATAGAAAGTGTTATCAAATATCATTACTTTTCTAAACACAGATTATAATTAATATTATTTTAATTAAAAAAAAATGTAAAATATAAAAAATAATAAAAAAATAAAAAATAAAACAACAAGAAAAAATCACAATAAAAAAAAAAAAAAAGAATAGAAAGAAAAAAAGAAGAGAAAGAAAAAAAGAGAAAGAAAGAGAAAGAAAAAAAAAGAAAAGAAAAAGAAAAAAATAAAAAATAAAAATAAAAAAAAATCAAGATTGCAGAGCTACAGCATTCTTAAAATACTCACTTCTCAGAGTCTTTATAATATTTATCATCAATCATATATTTCTCACAGTGAGAATAATACAGTTATAATAAGTTATTATCTTAATATTATCTAACAAATAATCAGTATATACCTATATAAATGTGATTAATTAGAAAATATACACTTAAAAAGTGTGATCAGAGTGAACTCTGCTGTTATTTGAATAATATCAAGAATAGAATGCTGAAATCAATGATTTCTCTCATTGATTTTATAAATAAGATATGTGAAGATAATCTTGAGAAATATAAGATTCTCTGACTTCTGATAGAAACAGATCTTATGAAGAGACTCTATTTTCATCATATCAGAGACTGAGTGTTATTAAAAAGTATTACTTTAATATATATATACTTACTGCAGTGATTCATTCTCTGTACATATGACTGAGAGTTACAGCTTTCTCACACTGCATGACTCTCTCTGAGATGCTGCTGTCAGTTTGCAACTCATACAGTCTCTCAGTTCAGCATGCACTGTGCATATGCAGCTCTGCATGCTGAGGCTGTGTTGATCATTATGACCTGGTGTAGTACTCGCTTTTCACAGGCCATGTTTCATTTAATTGAGGGGGGGGGAGGACGCGACTGCTGTTTTATTTGAGAGAGAGTGAGTAATTGAATCTGTAGAAGGTAATTTGATTTCTTCTGCATTTGAAATTTGATTAGTCTATACTCTTCAACAAGTCTCAATCGCTTGCTTGCTCTCACTTATTCAGCTTGAAAAACGCGCTGTTTAATTTCTCAGATGAATGTAATGAGATATGAACAACTGCACATGACTTGTATAGATGAATTTCATATAATTCACAGCTGTTAATATGTTAATAGAGAACAATTACATAGATGAAAAAGATGAATAACACTGTAGTAGTGTTGTAGAGTAAATGTAGAAGCTCTAAGTGAGGTGTAATTAAATGTCAGACAGCTC